CCCCAAAACCCCAAAACCCCAAAACCCCAAAACCCCAAACATCGACTCTATTCTTGATAATAATAAAACATGAAGGCAATTACAGAAGCTAATCAAAAGTAAGCATCATTTCGTATTGATTTTCAATGCTGAATGACCATTAGTCAACTACCTAGTAGAATACCTTAGAAAAAGAATACCAAGTAGCCTTCTGGGGCTGGAGGACAAGATAGACTGTATAACTCCCTTTGCTTTAGTCTATCCCGTGGTTTTAAGGAATAATTTAAACTCTTGAAACCAGCCCTCAAGCTTAATACCCTTAAAAATAAAATAGTAGAAAGGAGTTTTACAAAATTTAGAGCTTAAACTATGATTTCTGTTGAAAATATGGTGAGGAAGATGATTTATGAGATTTACATGTTTGCCGGAATATTCTAAACTCCTCCTAATACTATTTAGTTAACCTAGTCATAACTGCAAGTAATGTAGGGTAAACTAGTGAGTAAAGACCTAGTCGCCAGCATTTATATATTTTGACTGAAAAATTCCTCTAACTCATTGAAACTCTCAGCTAAAATTCAACAAATCTGTTATGTGTTACTCCCATCTCTGTTTAAGGACATTTTTGGTTTTCCCCTTGTAGCTATTAAATTTGAAGTAGAGACTTTATGGTAAAGTTAGAATAAGTCTCAAGAAATATGAAGGAATTGTCTTCACTCTCTTTCTTGGTAAATTTATCTCTGCTCTTAACGAGGATTTTCTCTGATGCCAAAGAATCTACTTTTCATGGGCCTAATTTACCTTATTGTAGCCAAGAAGCTGGTGAATGCAAAACTCCAGTTTTCAAAGATAATAAGAAGCTTAAAAGCAATGATGATACCTTCAGCGGGGCTATTTCTCCTGATAGTGGCTCTCATAGTGATAGTCAGGGAGAAGCTAAAGAGTTAGAAGAGTGCCCAGGTGATACACCTACAGATAAGACTGAATCAATCCCCCCTCAAAAGCTTAATTTGAGTAAACTGAATGCACAAAGTGGTTCAACAATGGCTTCTCTCACCTCCAAAAAGGACAATTTAGAAATAGACTTTAACAACTTTATGGTAATCGACAAAAGACTCAGTGGGCGAGAAAGCCCTCATTCAAAGCAGGATTACATTAGCGAAGATTGAGATGAATATTATGATAGTGGTGTTTCAGAATTTCCCGGAAGATCTCTTCCCAAAAAGCCTTCAAATATCCCTTTCAGCTACGCATATGTAGAAGGAAGTGACGATGAGAGTCAAGAATGAAGAATGCATCTCTCCTTTGGAGATAGAGTCAAAGAGTACCATAATTCGAGGCAAAACAACTCTCTTATCGAATCAAGAGAGACCTTATCTCCTTCTCCGACCAATGAGGAGAGCTCAAGGAAGCTAAGCTCATTCAGCTGTGGAGATAGCTCTTACAAAGAGCAGCAAAATTTGTTAAGTAATACCCAAAGAGACAAATATTGCATAAATAGTTCCAATAATGACAGTAAGGATCCTTTTTTGAAAATTTAGAGGCTAAAGCTTATCTTCAAAAGACAAAGAACTACAACATGAATAACTTCTCTCCTATCTCCAAGCTGAGCAATAGTGTAAACAGCATCCTTGAATGAATAGATGAGGAAGATAGCAGTATGGAGAGAATGTCAGAGCAAAACTCCACGCATACCGTAGACCCTCGCTACCTTTCTAAAGCTAAGCTTGATGAATCCTTGAGGAAGACCTCAGCAATGAACAGTGAAGTTCAGAGATACTCAATCCTCTCGAAAAAGAAAAGTGTCGAAGAAATATTTAGTAGAGATGCTCATAGAATGAGAAAAATTAGATCCCAAAAAGGTCAGCCGAGGCAACAATATCTTATAAAGAACAAGAAATACGGAGGTAGCCTACAGCTTTCAAACTACCTATCTTATATCTATTAGAATTCTCCCCTCTAGTCTTGTTCATGTTTGTTTCCCAAGATTTCCTGACATAAAAGGACAATTTTCTTTTTAAAGCCCTTCTTCCGCTATAAATTTTATACCTAAATATCTAAAAGCGATCCTGTTTATAGAAATGGCATTGTACATGTACCATAAATCCTATCTGAAACACGACAGATTCTGCAAAATTGAAGACGAGGAAGAGGACTGTCTTAGTCTCCTATGCTGCACGCCTAAGAAATAATTTTGCTTAACCTATAAGTTAAGCTGGACAGTAAACTTTGAATACTTCCATTTCAATAATATTTTTTGACAACGGGGTTTTGGGGTTTTGGGGTTTTGGGGTTTTGGGGTTTTGGGGTTTTGGGGTTTTGGGG